CCACAGACTGAGAACGCTGCGTTGTCACACTATTTTTAAGCATCCGACGCCAAAAGACATCGAAATCACAATATTATGCAGGCTTCCGCCACATCCGCCGACCCCTTCTGTGAGTGTTGCGAGGCCAGGAGTTTCTGGCCAGCGGCGTCATGTGTGAGGGTGCGGTGTCGCGCGCGGGTGGTGGCAGATACGTAGGGGGTCCAAATGTTTTGCGGGCGCCTTGCGTGTTGTGCACCCGGGTGCGGGGTGTCCTTCTGGGAGGTCGGCCTTTCGACCCGCAACCAATTGGAGGACCACCAGAAGACGAAAGGAGCAAGAGTAGCGTGCGGAAGCTGTGATCAGCGAGGCATCACTGCGAAAGATGTGGCAGATGAGTCGAAACGGGTGAAGAGGCCGTTGACGTTCGCAGCGCGCGCGAAACAGTTCGCGCGGCAGCAGCACATTAGCGCCGAGCAAGATAGTGAGCACGTCGCGAGGAAAAGCAAGGCTGTATGGCTTGGCGGCTCGCAATACGGAAGCGTCTGGGGGTCGTTGGGGGGCCTCCTGGGGGCCTTTTGGGGGCTCCTTGGGGCGTCTTGGCGGCCTCTGGGGCCTCTGGCGGCCTCTTGGGGCACTCTCGGGGCCCCCTGGGGCTCGTGGGGGCGGAAAGCTAGATTTGTTTTAATGTTTGGTTGCCCTCTTGGGCCCCTCTTGGTGCCGTCTTGGAGCCTTCTTGGGCCGTTTTGGGGACCTCTTGGGCCGTCTTGGGGCAATTTTGGGCCGTATCGGGGGCCTCTTGGGCCGTCTTGGGCGGTCTTCGGGGCCTCTTGGGCCGTCTTGGAACGTCGGAAAGCCCACGAGACGATGTTGCGCAACATATACGTTTTACACAGGAAATGAACAATTTTTCTGCGTCTAGGGACCCTCTTGGGGCGCATTTTGGAGGCCCCTTGTGGGCGTCTTGGGCCAGCTGGAGGCCATCTCGGGTGTCTTCGATCGCTTTTGGACCGTGTGGGACCATGTTGAGCTCTCCTGGAAACCAGTTGGAGCGTTCCTGGAGCGCTCTTGGGGCCGTCTTCGGGGCTCTCTTGGGCCGTCTTCGGCGCCTCTTGAGCCGTCTTGGCGCCCTCTTGGGCTGTCTTGGGGCCCTCTTGGAGGTTTTTGGACCGTCTTGGTGCGGTCTTGGAGGCCTCTTGGGCTGTCTTGGGGCCCTCTGGGAGGCTTCTTGGACCGTCTTGGTGCGGTCTTGGGGGCCTCTTGGGCCGTCTGGGAGCGTCGGAAAGCCCAAAAGGCGAATTTATGTACAAAATCCACGTTGCACGAAGGGAACGGGCCAATTTTTTGCGTTTAGAGGCCCTCTTGGGGCGCATCTTCGATGCCTCTTGGGGCCTCTTGGGGGCATTTTGGGCCGTCTGGGGGCCATATTCGGTGTCTTTGATCGTTTTTGGACCGTCTGGGACCATATTGAGCAGCTTTCTTGGAGGCCACTTGGAGCGCTCTTGGGGCCGTCTTCGGGGCCCTCTTGGGCCGTCTTGGGCGCTTGTTGGGCCGTCTTGGGGCCCTCATGGGCGATCTGGGGACGCTATTGGAGGCTTCTTGGGCGGTCTTGGGGGCCTCTTGGGCCGTCCGGGAGCATCGGAAAACCCAGAAGGCGAATGTGTGAAACACGTACGCTTTACGAAGGGAATGGGCAATTTTTTGCGTCTAGGGACCCTCTTGGGACGCATCTTGGAGGCCTCTTGGGGCCTCGTGGGGATCTCTTGGGCCGTTCAGGAGGCCTCTTAGCCCGTTTTTGGGCCATCTTGGGCGTGTTGGAGCGCTCGTTTGGCGTCTCGGGGCCCTCGTGGGCCGTCTTGGAAACGTCTTGAGGCCTTCTTGGCTCGTCTTGAGTCGCTTTGGGGCCCAATAAAGCCCCGTGACGCGGTCGTCGTCGGCGAGGAGGGGGGGGGTCAAATCTCCGGTTTGGGGTCCCTGGGGGGGGGGGGGATATGGGGAAAGAACTATTTCACACGCCTAGAGACCCACAAGGGGTCGGCGGAGATTCCCAATGTTATTTCGTTTTCTGTATATTTGTCTTCCTCTCCGAGGTTTCCTCCGAAGTATCCCTCCACAGTGGAATCAATGTGTAGTCCGTCACAAAAAAAAATGTGTAACCCGCCACGAAGGAAATCAGCTTACAATCCGCCACAGAAGGAATCACACTGTTAGGCGCTACAAGCGAAATCAATTTGCAATCCGCCACAAGAGATAAAGAGAGAGAGAGAGAGAGAGAGAGCGACCGAGAGAGACAGGGAGAGTCCCTTTACGGGGACCCTCCCAGGTTCGAACACCCCCCCCCCCTTTGGACAGATGGAGGGGGGGGGTCCCCCCCGGTTCGAACACCCCTCCCCCCTTGGACACATGGAGGGGGGGAGGCCCACCCCCGGTTCGAACACCCCTCCCCCTTTGGACAGGGCCCCCTCCTCTTCGACCCCCCCGCGCCCCTTTCTGGGAGGGGCGGTGCTCTCCCCGGTTAGGGGGGCCCGCGTCCAGGAATGGCCCCCTTTTCCCCCGGTTTTCCAGGGGCGCGCAATATTTGGCGGTGGGGAGGCCCCCCCCGGTTCCAACGTGTCAGGATGCTTTCTTTGGCAAGCGTCCACGAAACGTGCTCTCTCTCTCTCTCTCTCTCTCTCTCTCTCTCTCTTTCACATTAGAATCGAAGGGCAGTTGCAGTTGGCAGCCAGATGCAGGCAGCAAGCGGATCTCAATTACGACTCTGCGGATGTGGTGGACAAGCGTTGTATACATGTTCGGCAACTTGCGCAGTCAGAGATAGATACAGACATGAATTGGTTATCTAGGACGATGGCACGAACCCCAATATAGGCAGTATCCGATGCAGAGTTTGGGATGTTCAACAACCCCAGAAACATTATCAATCGTCGGCAAATTCATTCAGGAAGCACGAAGGGCACCATCATTCGTCTCTTGGTAAGCCTCCTGAGCAGCGCATGCCTCCAGTTCATGAGTGCACCTCGCGTCGCTTTTGGAGTACAGGTCTCTTCCGGGGTCCAGGTGTTTTGTCCATTCGTCTTGGCCATTGTTGTTCGTCGCTGTCGTCGCCCTCCCCTCGCCTCCGCGAGCTTCCCCGCGCTCACGAAGCACAGGGATCCAAAGTGCATCAAGGGCTCCTTGGGACGTACAGTCGGGGCGCTGAAGAAGCAACTCTTTTCGTTGGGTAGGGGCTCCGTGTTCCTTAACAGTTCAATCAACGGTTTCCTCACGTTTTCGTTCGGTTCCCGAAGGGAAATCGAAATTCAACTTCTGGAGAATAGGGGCCTCGTTCCTTATTCAGGGTTCCTTAGGTCAGCGCCCCGACTGTATGCAGACTCGCTCAGACACTCACGGCCACTCACGAAGGCTTACTCCCATTCAGACTCGGACATGTTGGTGATTCATTCGCAGTCGATCTCGCTCACACAGACCACACACACACTCGGATAGTCCACGCTCGGATTCACCCACTCGCCCATACACAGGCTCACGAGCTTGGCCTTCTCGGACTCGAGTTCGCGCATACGCAACCTCGGTCATACTCATCACCATCGCGATGCAGCAGGCACGACATTTGGACCACTCGGGGGGGGAGCCGCCAGGGAGCGTAATGAATGGGCCCGCTCGCATCCGCGCTGTGGGGATGTCTTGAATGACACACCCGTTCGCGACCGCGTATCTTTTCAGAGCCCGATGCTCACGGCTACGTTTAAGTCGGGCGTGTCCCTCTACAGGGGGAGTATTCAAAAATAGTCGAACAATAGTTTGGTGACTATTGTTTGAGTATTGTTACCATTTGGGGGTATTTGTTGCGTACTTTTTTTTATCTTTCGTCCAAAACTCCCCTGTAGGGGGACACGCCCGACTTAAGGCTACGTAGCAGGCATGGCGTTTGGGCAACCCAGGTGAGAGCCGCCACGGGGCATTGCACGGGCCAGCTCGCGCCCACACTGTGAGGATGTCTCCAGCGGAACACCCGTTCGCGACTGTGGACGAGTATCTTGGATGATCACGGCTACGTAGCAGGCATGGCGATACTCCTTGGAGGTTCAGCCCCCAGCATGTTTTGCACGGGTCCGTTCGCGTCCACATGGTGAAGATGCTTTGATTGAAACGCTCGTTCGCGACTGTTGAAGCGTATATCTTCAGAGGCCTATGATCACAGCGATGTAGCGGGCATGGCACTGGGACCATTCCAGGCGCAGCGAGGTCGAAAGGGGGAGTGCGACAGCTACTCATCTCGCACGCCATTTCACCCCCAGCAAGCGGGGGTCGGTGGACCTTTTCAACACGCGGGATCTCAGGGCTCCTCCTCCCCCTCCTCCTCCTCCTCCTCCTCCTCCTCATCCTTCTCCTCCCCCTCCTCCTCCACAATTACTCAATATGAATACTACTCTCCCTCTTCCCCTGATGACGTGCTGGGAGTGTTCGACCCCCCCCCCGCGTACTGTTGTTTTTCCCCGGATTCCCTGGAGTTGGGTTTTCGCTTGCATTTTTTTTCAAAATGCTGCTCTCGCTGAGGCGCCGGGCTCATTTTCGGGCCCCGCTCGTTCCGAATCGTGCTCCCGCTGCAGCGCTGGCCTCATTTCCGTGCTTCCGCTCGTTCCGAATCGTGCTCCCGCTGCAGCGCTGGCCTCATTTCCGCGCTTCCGCTCGTTTCGACTCGTGCTCCCGCTGCAGCGCTGGCGTCATTTCCCGTGCCATGCCACGGCATGCAATGCAATGCTAAGTTGATACTACGCTTTGCGGTGCTCTTCTACGCCATGCCATGCCGTGCTCTACAATGCATCGCGTACCCTTTCGGGATCATTGCCCTGCTCGACATCCGACTGTGCGAGTAGAGAGGGGATCTACGCCATGGTAAGGGATGGGAGGGAGGGGTAGGATGTCAGATATGACGCGAGCGCACCTAGCTTGTCCTCCTCCCCCTCCTCCCCCGCCCCCTTCTCCGGTCAGCAAAGAGCCGCAAACCCCCCCCCGTCGGGCAGGCTCGGGCAGGCCGTGGAGACGGCCGCGAGCAGGCGGGACGTCGCCGAGCTCGCGGAGGAGCGCCGGGGAGAGCTTCCCGCCCCCAGACAGCTCGGACTCGGACCACCACGGTCGGAGGCCACGATAGGGGGCGAATGGCCCAGGGGCGAGCAAGACACGTATCCAGGGGTGCCGATGATCTATGTCTTCGACGGAGCTCCCGGGCGAGTACATGTAATGTCCGCCCCTTGGGCTATTCGCCCCCATCGTCGCCGCCGACACGGGGGCTGCTAGGATCGAAGGCGACGAAACGGCACGGCAGAAACAAAAATTTCTGGCGCTCCGCGCGGGTTTTTGGGATCCGCGCTGGGCCCCCCTGGCGGCGCCTTCGGCGCCGCCCCTGGCGCGCTCTGCGCACCAGGAAGGGGGCTCCAGCGCAGATCCAAGAAATCCGCGCGGAGCGCCAAAAGTTAATGTTCACAGCGTTGTTTCTTCTTCTATTCTAGGACCGGGATGCGGGGGTTCCGAGGCGGATGGGAAGGTGGGGCGTGTCTGGCCCGATCCAGCTTGTGCGTTGGTGGTGGCCTGAGAGGACGAGGGGAGGGAAGATCTGGGCGAAGCGGGCGGAGCCCACTCGGCGGAATCATCGTACCCCCCTGAGTCAGTTGGGCCTATGAGACAGATTAGGCCACACACAACTCACTTACTCTGGGTCTCTTGACAAGCTTGGGGGGGTACCCCCCCGACGGGGGTCAACCTCGCCTCGTCGTCGCGCCGCGACGGGGGTCGGTGCGCCTTCGGCGCGCGGTGGCTGCCCGCGACGGGGGTCGATGCGGGGCTGTCGGCGGGGGTAACGCCCCCCCTTAGCCTTGTTAAGAAACTCGGAGCAGGCCACATACAATTCACTGGGTCGTCTTCTGATGCCCCTCCTGTACGCTCACCAGCCGCCGCAACGATCCGAGCAGATCCCCCACGACGTGGTGGCGGCATTCCCGGGGCAGTCCGCCGGTTCGCCTGCCCGCCCGCCTGCTTCGGTGCCCCCGTCGGCCCGCCCATCAGTTGGGGTTCGCCCGCCCGACCTGCCCGTTGGTGGCCACCCGTCCGCTGGCCTGGAAGCGTGTCCGCACGATCCAATGCCCGGCCCGCCCGGCCACGAGGGGCCGCCCGCCCGACCCGCCCGTTCGGGCCCGCCCGCTAACATTCCTGCCCCTCGCTCCCCCTCCTGCTGATTTCTGGTCGTCTTCGGTCCTCCTCCCTTCCTCTTGCCCCCCGCTCCCTTGCCGTCTTCTCCTCCCTGCCTCGGCGTCTCCTGTTATCCTTCCTCCATCCCCCTTCTGCTTCTAGGGGCTGCACCAATTCCACGTGGCGGGCAAGAAAGGTATGCCCGCCAAAGACGGCACGAGCGAAGACTTAAAGGGCGGGTATCGAGGCTTTTGGGTCGCACAGGTTTAACGACACGCGAGCAACGCGTTTGCACTCCGAGGTTCTTGCTTGTGTCTCTCGGGAGTTGGATGGGTCCGGTCGCTTGTTCCCGACTCGTTGCTGCCTCGCGAGCAGGGTGGATCCCAGCGAGGGTTCGCCACGCTGTCGCTTGTGGCCGCCTCGTGCGCTGAGTGGGTCCGGCGATGTTTCGCCACGTCGCCGCCCGTTGCCGCCTCGTTGCCGCCCAGTCCTCCTGGGTGGGTGCCGCGAGGTTTCGCTGTGTTGCCGCCCGTTGCCACCTCGTTGCCGCCTTATGTGCGCCGGGTCGGTCCTGCGAGGTGTCGCCGCGCGGCCGCCCGTTGCCGCCCTGAGCCTGCGCGGGATATCTCCCTCCCAACAAAAAAAAGTACGGTAGGTTCGTGTCGTGTCGACTGGCGGCGACCCCGCCAGCGGCGTTCAACTTTGAACGCCGCGGGCGACCCAGAATCGTTCGATGTGGAACGATTGGGCGTTTCGAAAACGGCCGATCGTTCAAGGTTGAACGATCCCCGCGGTGTCAGAAACCAACGCCGAAGTCGGCACGACACGGACCTGCCGTAATAGCCTCCGGCACCCTCCCACCCCCCGGACTTCTCGCTACCCCCTGGGACATTACAACTTACATATGATCATGTCTCGTCGTTCACTGTCGCTGCGATTTCATACCAGCCCAAGCCAACCTGTGTCGACCCCCCCTCGTCCCTGCCAAACAGTATGCGCGCACACTTGCTCATCGCAGAGAATATGGTTTATGAATTCTTTGTAGGAAATATCACAAAGTCCACACGCGCGCACGTATCACGTCTCGAGCACACCAAACATACAAGTTCTGCAAGCACTGTAGCAGAAACGCCTAAAACATGTTTGCGTCCTTCATCAAAAACATTCCAGATGTTCTGCCCGCGCGGATTTGTTGAAAATTTACAAGAGAAAAAACCAATCAGTGGATGGTTTTCGCTGAGGAGGAGATCGACAGGGAGCCAGGGAACCCAGAGCCCACCGAAATCGGCCCGGAAACAGTAATTAGGAACCCGGAACCGGGAACCCGGGAACCCAGCTTGCTACCAAAAGCGGCGGGAATCTTTCGCCAAATCTTTCGACTTCCGCTAGGACCCCTTCAGTGCAAGCACTGATTGGGGAACCATCTGAAGACTAATCGAGTTTAGCAATCTCGTCCAGAGCCCGCACCGTACTTAGCCAGTTTGGCGCAAGCACCACAGCCACTTTGGCTCCCGCCCGGCTGTGCAGACTCGTCGAGAGCCGGCCTCCCCCCGCGCCATGCCGGGCACCCGCGCAGCCAGGGCGTGGAGGCTGGGTGCGGCCGCCGTGGCGCTGCAGGCCCCGGCCGGGGCGCTGGGCTCGAGCGCCTGGCTGGAGGGCACGTGGACGACCGGCTACTGGGACTGCTGCAAGCCGAGCTGCTCGTGGCCAGACAAGGGCAGCGTGAGCCGGCCAGTGCAGGCCTGCAGCGCATCCACCGGCGCCGTGCTGTCGGACACCAACGTGGCCTCGGTCTGCCACGGGGGCGACGCGGCGACCTGCGCCAGCAACGGGCCGTTCCAGGTCAGCGCGGACCTGAGCATGGGCTTCGCGGCGGCAGCGGTCGGCGGAGTCTCTGGGCTCGACGGCGACGCGAACTGCGGCCAATGCTTCGAGCTGGTCTTCACCAGCCAACGCCACGTGGATGGCAGTGGGTACCCCTGGGGTGGGGCGCATGCGGGCCTGGTCAACAAGAGGCATGTCGTGCAGGTCACGAACATCGGTTACGACGTCTCTGGCGTTCACAGCTTCGACCTCTTAATCCCAGGTGCCGGCCAGGGCCTGTTCACCAGCGGGTGCAGCAGGCAGTTCTCCGGCCTCAGCCCGGGCGACTTCGACTGCGACAACAACTACGGCGGCTGCTCCGCGCGCAGCGGGTGCGACCGGCTCCCGTCAGAGCTGCAGGCCGGCTGCCACTGGCGTCACGACTGGTACAGGTGGCTCGAGTCGAGCGGCCAGACGAACAACCCATGGGTCAGCTTCCGGCGCGTGCGGTGCCCAAAGCAGCTCACCGCCATCAGCGGCTCGGTCCCGCTGGACGACGGCTCGTGGCCAGAACACACCGGAGCCACTGCGTAG